TCTGAGTCCGGCGCACTAAACATTAAGATGTTAAAAATAACAAATTGTCTATAACCAATCCTAGATATCCATATGCGCAAGAAAACGAAAGAACATTAGAACTACAGTAGAAAACAAAAGAGAAATAGAAAGAGAAAATAGATAAACTGAGTAGATTGTTCTATTAACAATTTAACAAGGAGGAGTAGGTCAAAGAATAAAATGAGAGAGAAAGAAAATCCGTAAAAGAGAAAATCAAATAACTAGGATGTCTTATATACAGAGTACGCAATACGAAGACAGAATAACAAACAAAATAGGATATAAATAGCCTTTACAATATACAACTATTACGGTTAGAGCTTTAACTTCCACCTGAGGAAACTGCAGTGTGCAAGGTAGATGTCCTCTACTAAACAGACATATTTTTCAAGTGAACTGAAAAGAACTCCATCCAGCGTTTCCATTTCGTCGTTCGCTAAGAAATACAAAATGTCTCCCAAGAGCTTCGCCTCTTGCAGTTCTTGCCTCGTCATCGCCCCGTCCCTCGTCAAGTTCTCAAAAATTCTTCCGCGCGAGCCCCGCCCGGTGAATATCCTCGTCCATCGCCCACCTCTGGTCTCTATCATGTTTAGAGTTAACGCACAGTCGACAATTTTGACTAGGCACGTGGATATGTGCCATAAAAATAATATGAAAGCCTCTAAACGCTATTTTCATAGGTTCACGTATGCGCTCTTTCCAATGATGTACTTTACAATTTTAAAGATGTTTTTATTACGATCTTCTTAGATCCGGTCGCTAGGAAACCGGACTAAAAGTGTTTTCGAAGTTTTTAAATCACACCATTGGAAAGGGCGCATATGAAAATCTCTGAAACTAATATTCGTAGGCTTTCAAACTACTTCTAAATCAAGAATCCTAATGCCTAGTCAAAAAAGTCGCAAATCTGTCATTTCATTAAATCGAACTATTTTTGCGCATAAAAACGTACAAGTGACACATTATTCTATTCAAATCAATGCGCTAATTCCAAATATCTCGTTTTTGTTGAAAAAAATGTGTCTGAACCAAGAAAAATGGTAAATACGTAAGAGGACATCTAGATGGACATTCTGTGAAAGTCTGGACGTTGGAGCTGCGCTAACCTGTGTGTGTTGACTTTGCTAAATGTAGCTGTTCGGAAAATCACTTGAGAAAAAACTTTCCTTTATTTTCTCAGCTATTATAAATGCAAACTAAAAATTATTTTTTGCGAACCTGTAGTTGACATCATATATGTATAGAGTATACGTCGTTTTCCGTTATAAGTTCAATGACTGTTATGAAATTTTACTTTCTTGTCGATACTACTATTTTCGGGCTAATCTTTGATTAGCTATTTTCTGACGCAACGAAAACTTCGTAATAAAATATTTTATGCCATCGGAGAGCATGTCTTGAAATGAACCGCCAAAAAGTCGATTTTCACTTTTTCACCAAATGTCCGCTTGATTGTCCACTGTACAAGGTAGAACTAATTTATGCAAAACTAAGGTTAAGGAAATTCAAAATTCAAGTAAGTTTTTTACCTTAATTTACAATGAAATGCTCTATAATAGGGGAATAATAGAGGAAGAGCGACCGATCGACCAGAATATGTTTTGAAACGTTCTCTAAGTAGAGACCGAAATCTATCTATCTATCTCCGGATAGAAAACCTTGTCGGATTTTTTGACGCGATTCTGGTTTTTAACTTCATTTACTTTTAAGAAAAATCGAAAATTTCGAGTTTTAAATAATTTTCTCCGTCCGTGCACTGCTGCTTTGGATTATAAAGACAGAAACAGAGTAGAAACGTTTTTTTGACTTTTTATTAAAAATTTGAGTGAAATTTGAATAAAACGTCAATAGCCGTTTTGAAATCTGCCTTTCCGCATCTCTGTATCGCCGTTGGTTACAGAGTCACTCGAAAAACATCCGACTCTATTCCGCTTCGAAATGGATTATAGTAACTTACAAATTATTTTGTCATTTTTGAATATCATATACACTTATTTAATGAACGGAGCAAATCTCTTTCAACGACTCATTCGACACAGAGCCCGCTGATCATCACCAGAACCATCAGTGCGACGATCAACAGAATGAGAAGAACCGAATACCACCTAATAATCTTATATCATACACAATCACACGCCTGACATCTTTGGAGACGAGTTAAATAATTATACTCATTTTGAACAATCATCTTATGAAGAAATAGCCGGTATAGTATCGAACAAGGACAATTATGATATGGTTACTATAACATTTCGTAGTTGTTTAATTGGTATTTTGTACGCCGGACTCGTATCATCACTTAATCAATATTTATATTTTAAAGAAAAGTCCTATTCGGTACCACTATATGTACTTTTACTCTTGGCATATCCCATCGGTAAACTATTGGCATGGTGTTTACCGAAAAGAAGTTTTAATATCTTAGAATGGAAAGTTTCGCTCAATCCATGTCCATTCACGATCAAAGAGCATGCTATTATTTATATTATGGTTTATATAGCCAGTACAATAGTAGCAGCTAATAATATAATTATTGTTAAGCAAGCTTACTATTGTCAAAAACATATTTTGCTTGGGGAATTCTTCTCGCACTATCGTCTCAAGTGATGGGTTATGGAATGGCAGGTAAAAAGAAACGAATATTTCCCTGGCATTACTGAATCATTTGCATACGAGTTTATAGTGTCAGCTAGAGACCTACAAGGGTTAAGAAAACGTAACCCGAACCCGACTGTCAAAATGCTGACCCGACGAGGGAACTGATTTAACTGTCAAATCGTTTTTTCAATGAGACCTAGCGGATTATAGGTTATCGACTATGCGGATTCCGAATATTACTATGCCAGCTACCCTTCTGTTTTCTGAAAAAACAGCTTTTCAGAAACGCTAAAAAAATAACCAAACTTTTCTTAATGAGTCGTAATTGTAGCCCGCAAATTTCGGCTTAAGATGAGACATCTCCTAGCCCTACTCGAACTTCCTTTGCAAAGTTATAGAATTTACAAGAAAAGCCCTGAATTAGTTTTTTTCTTATTTCTGTAGCTTTGAGCTAACAATGAACATTTAGGGCTTTTCTTGTAAATTCTATAACTTTGCAAAGAAAGGTCGTGTGGAGCTGGAAGACGCCTTATTTTAATCAGAAATGTGCGGGCAACAATTATGTTTCATTAAGAAAAGTTGAGTTATTCTTTTAGCGTTTCTGAAAAACTGGTTTTGCAAAAAAACGCATCGTCAGGGACCTGTAGCCAACTGCCATGGTCATATTCGGAATCAACATAGTCAAAAACCTATAATCCACTAGGTCTCATTGAAAAAACGATTTGACAGTTAAATCGGTTCCCTCACGAACCCGATCCGACCCGATAAAGTTTTACTCTTTTGTTTTATTCTTAAGTGTATGTCTTTTTATTTACCTGTCTGTTTGGCGGAGGGTAGCGCATTACAGGCGAGTGACCTTTTGCTAATAGTTATTGAATTGTGTTATTGAACTTTGCTTCTTAAATGAGTATAGTGTTTTCCTAAAACAAGAGAACATCCTAAAATAGGCCAGGATAACTCCATTGTTTTTCCTTTTAGATAATTAATCTTCACAGGATATCCTGTATAGTGTAGAGGTGGTACTTTACCTTTACTTTACTTGTAACTCGTAATGAACTTAGTTACTCGTTACTACTGTCGTTACTTTGTAACTAGTAACAAGTAGCTCATTTGGGTTACTCCAGCAGAAAGTAACAAAAAATTCGTTACTCTCGCTACTTTCTGCTGGAGTAACGAAAGTAACCAAATGAGTTACTCGTTACTAGTAGCGAAGCAACTAAGTTCGTTACTTTACCTGGTAAAGTAACGCCAAGTAACTAGTAAAGTGCCACGTAGTATAGTGAACATATAATGCAGTGCTTGATGTAATCAAAACTAAAGTAGAAGGATTGATAGGTGAATGAACCAGCTGATATGATAATGTAAATAATATCCTGTAGAAGAGCATTACCTTTCTGAAAAAAGATCGACTCTCCAATCTTTCCGCACGGGTTCTCTAGTTGGTTTTCTAGTTTTTCTTTATCTCACAAACGGGAACGCCCGCACGTGACAAAGCTAATTATCTTCTTTGTTTTCTTCCCATACCAGAATGTTTTCAGTAGGAAAAATTCACTCTATATTACCTCTAATAAAACAGAAACGTTATGATTGAAAATTGTGCGGCTTGGAAAAACATTTGTCTACACATTTGTCCTTTTTTGTCTAATCCTTCACTTTTTTTAAAATAAGTCTCTGCTCGCTATATGAATCGTCTTTTTACCAAAAGTTTATATGGGTAGATAATGTCACTACCAATGGGAAAATGACACTGCGAAAAACATTTCTTGATAAAAGTATTTCTGGAACGTTGATTTACAAACCAGTAAAAAAGATGTTGGAAAAAAACCTGTGTAGAGGAATAGTTCACGGAACGGACTCCAGTTTATGGTCTAAATTTTAGGTCAAACTAATAAAATGGTGTTTTTTTCTGTTAGAAATCCTTTTTTTCTCCAGATAAATCTATCACAAACTGAGCTCTTCGAGTTCATCAAAGAAGAAGTGTACAATTTAATTTTTGAGCGAGAATCTGCTAATTTCAAAGTTCCTACAATCTTTCTAAATCAGAGAGTCAAAGCGCACTTCGTTTAAAAAGCGAATATTATTCTACACTAAGTGTTGGCACTCACCGATCAAGGATTTCAGTAGAAAGATACCCTGTTAGCAACAGGGTATCCGAGAGTAACGTTGAATAAATCATAATTTCTACTTTGGACGGTGAGAGACCATCGAGAACAAATTTCGTCACAGTCCGTCTTTGCAAAGCCGCTTATTCGCATCTGTAAGTGTAACCGATCTGTTGTGTTAGTATTAGATTGATTTGACCAGGAAACCTTTTTGACATTGAATATTGTGTTAAATCGATTTTAGGTGTTTTAAGTCGGTTTCTTGTTTGGCCTTCACCGATGATTTGGCCTTCTAATTTACCGGTGATTGCATTCTTACGTACAATTCATGAAGAAGAACAATCAACAAGTGTTCGATGGCTAAAATTGTCTCGTATGAAATTTCTTTTATTGGCCACCATTTTTCAAGCGTTCTATTATTGGCTCCCTGGTTATATTATACCTGTATTAGCGGCATTTTCTTGGATGTGCATGATTAATCCAAAGAATATTATTCTTGCTCAACTAACTGGTTATAATGGACTTGGCATGGGTTCATTGGTATTCGATTGGAATAGACTTACACAAGATATTGGTTCACCGATTTTAGTTCCACGCTGGGCTCTAATAAACGTTCTTGTTGGATTTGTTTGCTTTATTTGGATTCTTCTTCCTATTACTTATTTTGCAGATTTGTTTAATTTTAAAAGGGTGCCAATCGGGATTACTTGGTGGTACTATACGACAGATGGAAATTTTTTGACAGACAATGTTAGCCAATTTTCTAATAGGACATATATGGAAACGCAAAAACCAGTTATTCTCGGTTGTGCACCAGCAATAACAGAATACCTTACGCTGATGGCATTAACTTCGCTTGCTGTTCACACAGTGCTATATCACGGAAAAGATATAATTCAATATCTTCAAACATCATTAGAAAAACGTGAAAATGATATACATTGTACATTGATGGCAAGATATCCTGAGGCACCTGAACGGTGGCACATTGTTGTATTTTTGGTTGCATTTATCTTAGCTATTATTGCTTGTAAATTTGGACATTTCATGCCGTGGTATTATTTATTTATGGCTGTTCCATTGGTGTTTATATGTGTATTACCCGTTGGTATTGTGGAAGCAATAACAACCATAGAGATTCTTCCATTTTTTGTTGCAAGAACGATAGCGGCGGAAATTTTTGTAGGCGACGCAATTGGTCTAATATCATTTATGGTTTATGCTTATGAAATGTGAAAGCAAGCGTTATTCTTAACTCGTATGTTCAAATTTGGCCATTTTATGAAAATATCATCACGAACGCTATTCATTGTTCAGTTATCAATAACTATTGTATCAGTGATCATAAAATATGGAATTACCTACTACATTACAGATTCTGTTCCAAATCTATGTTCGAAACATTCTGAATGGACATGCTCTAATATAGATAAAAAGTCGTTGGTTCAAGCATTCGTAGGTTAGTGATAACGTTCTCTCTTTACACAGTGTCTTGAACTTTTTTCTTGATTCTACAGGTATCTCTGCACTCATTGGGACACAATCCTTAACGGCTAACCTGCTTTGGATGATACTTGTTGGTACTGTACTGCCCATTCCGTTTTGGCTTGTCAGCAAAAAATATCCGCATGTCACATGGTTACACTATGTGCACATTCCGATTATTTTTTCCATAGGAAATTCTGTACCGCCGGCTGGAAGGCATTTAACATGGTTTATTGTGGGTTTCTTATTCAGTACAATTATAAGACAATGGTGGTGGGAACGTTATGCACTGGAACCAGTGGTAAACGACGTCGTCAAAAGAGTCTGGTGAGTTATGGAAAACTGGTATTCTACACTAGATGACTGTAATTATAACTCCAATATCTTGATATTAGTCTTTATTTGTGTGATGACTTTGATCTGATTATCAGTTGTTGATTATTGTTCAAGTAAGCGTATGAATACTGTGTAAAATCACAATATCTTCATTTATGAAGCAAAGATTTATCCTCTCTTAGAAGAAAATCCTTTGAGATTGAATTGGATTATTCCTCAACTTGTCCGCATTCAAAACTTTTATTTCTTTTTGCTCTCTGTTTGAACATAAAGTGTACTACGATATTTTTAATATCAAACGACAGAAAAATGATGGGTAATTCCTTCACTGTTCGATAACGACTGAGAGATAATCGATCTAATGGAAAACGAAAGTTCAATGCAGAACCTTCGTTCATGTCGCAAAGTACAGAGGTTATCTCGGAGATAAAAGTCAACTACACTTCGAATGTAACTAAATGTTTGTGCACTCAACTATCAACTATTGCATCAGTGTCCCATAAATTACCTTTGAGAAGCCACATGTCCGTTACAGTGAACAAAGGGATACTTAGTTTTGTGGTATGTAACCCGAAAAGTCGCTTAAGTCAGTTTGACTTCTATCTACTCCACTACTGGTAATATGTAATCTGAGACTGCAGCTGCATTTCTAAGTGGCGTCCTTCCTAATTTACGCTGTGAAAAATAAATTAATTATATTCGAATATTCATCGCTTCCAAGCTGTTTTAGAGTTATTCCAGAAAAAAGGTTTGCTCGTTTATGTACCATCGATAAAAGTATAGACACACATTGAAAACTAGGAATAAATTTGCAAAATAGTAGTAACAAAAGTGGGGCTCATCATCCAGTCTTCTTTTTTGAACAAGCTTACTTTTGTTTTCAAGTGCAATGGACATTGGTGTCCAAATTCCTTCCATTCTTATTTATATATTGTTAAATAGCAATATATCCTTCCCTAACTGGTGGGGTATTGGGGGCGACAACCTCGATGGTTGTTCTTTATCCGTGACTAATTATAACGGCTATAAGCCTCAGTATCCTACTTAGAAATCTAATAGGCACTTTCACAGTGAAATATATTCGAAAGTAAAATCGAAAATCTCAGCTAATACAATGAATTGATTCGAATATATAAATTTAAAATAAGACTTCATTCTCTCGTCAATTAGTCTTCACTTCGTTTATAAATCCCATATGGATTTTGACTAGCACTCCTCTCTACAGTAATTTCCAATAATAGTAGCGAAATAGTGCGGTCATTAACAGGAACTGGATGAAGCAATCGGGCTCAGTCGGTTAGTGCGCAAATAACGCACTTCAAAGGTAAAGGAAACAAAAACCCACTTTAAGGCTTCAAACCCCAAGAAATCTATTTTCAACATGGAACATGCGATATCAAGGAAATTTTCAGTAAATATTACTCATATTAAAGTTAAGTTACACTAAAATTTTCAGCTTTATATTTCGTGCTTTCCTAAAGTTAGCTATAGGTAACTCTATCTTTATAGATAAAACAGTGGTTAGAAAGTAGATATAGGCAAACTTTTTATTTTTTTCAGAAACTAATTCGAAAACCAAAACTCTACCTTTAGTAAGTTGCAGTACCAGCTCTTAACTATATTTGAAAACCAACCCGAGAATTTTAGCATTTAAAATGGCAAAGAAATCTAGAAAGTGCTGAAAATTTCCAGAAAAAAGCTAAACACGTTTATTTTTCTTAAAACTTTGTTTTCGCAACGAAAATCTTTTTTGCACTAATCAAACCCCCTGACGTTAACTTTTTATTAGAAGTATTTAAAGTTCAGCTATTTCACAAGTGAAATGATCTTTATTTTGTGTTTTTTCAAAACTGTTTTCTAGCGTCAGGATTTTGCCGCGTGCAGCAATCTTTCATATTGAATATACAGTTTTCGATGCTCTGTCGAATGAGACTGATCTGAACTGAAAAAAAATAGGCCAGTTTTCAAAAATCCGGTTTTTCAGCTTAAAGTATTACAGAAGACCTTTGAAAAGTTTTTAATATACAGTTCGAAAGAGTATCAAATTCAGAGTAAATCCATATGTCACTCAAATTTTTGCAAATTTTCTTTGTAGTGAAATCTGAAAACCAAAAACGCGATTTTCTGCTGGACTTTTGCTCCAGGAAAATCTTAAACACCGCAGCCCCTTTAAGAATGATCAGAAAATTTTGAGTGACATATGCATTTACTCAGAATTTGATGCTCTTTCGCAGTCGTGTCTGAATCTTCTTACTTTCACATTTTAGATAAAATTTCTTTTTAGGTTGTTAGATATTCACATGGTACTTATTAATGCAGAAAAACGGAAATGTCGTGCCTATGCTTGATGGGCCGATATCCAGCTTTTCAGACATTCACAAATTGATGCTTGATAATACGAATACAAGCATTTTGAAAGAAGGTGACATGGGTGGGACTGTAAAAGTTTCAGTTACTTCTTCAATCGATATCTGCAACGGTAACTAGAAAAATAGTCAGCGATAAACCAACGGTAACTGAAAAGACAGTAAACTGGAAATTGGCCAAACGGAATTTGGATTTTGGAATTTGGCCGTAACAAGTTTTGGTCAAATTCCAACGTAAATTGGCCAAAAATTATAGTCTAGTAGATTTTGGCCGTATTCCTAGATTCAACTAGAAAATCTTCTTGGCCAAAAATCTAAATTGTACACGAATTTGGCCATTTTACCAAAAAAACCCACATCTGTTGTGAATGATCTGACACTATAAATAAGCATAATGATGCAGCTATTGTAGTATACCCAGCTGCCATACTGTCTGGCTGTTGTTCCAAAAATGGGCTTGGCTTGAAGGAGCATGAGTCGAATATCTGTTGAAATATAGCTTATTTTTTTCTGGTTCAGATCAGTTTCATTCGACAGAGCATCGAAAACTGTATATTCAATACGATTTTCGTACTGCTTAAACTTTTCGTTTACGCAAAAATTACGAAATTCAATATATGGTTTTCAAGGATAAAGCGACTTTTTACAATAAAAATTATTATTTCAAACATTTAAATGTGATATCTGAAATATGACCTCTCTCGTAACGCAGTTTTAAATATCTACGTAAAGACAATTATGACAAACATGTTATTAATATCCATATTGTCAACATTTACATTATTTTATCATTGTTTCGTCACATATCTTAAGTGTCATGAGAAGATCATTTAACAACGAGGTGGATTTATTTTTATACCTATGCGATAATGCAACTCTATTGAGGGTATCCCTCCCCTCTTTTTAGGCTTTCCGGAGAAATATTGTGAAATAAAAACTAAAAGTCGCTAGGGCTTCATATTTTCAGAGCTGATTGAAAACTTAATGAAGCACTTTTTCGTTGTTGTTTCAAGTTTTCAGCTATTGTCGTTCACCGGTTTTTCAGAAAACTTGATTTTTCTTTCGGCCACATTACGACCTTCCTTAAATTTCATCCGATTGAGTTAAAAATTTTAGCAGAGGTATTCAAGGTCATTCTGCAGAAGTAATTTTTGGGAAATATTTTCTAAACCTTTTCTGGTCGACTTATAGGAAAAATACTGAAAAACGTCTCAAAAACCGAGTTTTTCAACTTCAGAAACCTTATAAGTCGGTGAAGCAAACTCTAAAATAAAATTCCAGAAAATTCCCCTCCGCAATAGTGTCTTGAGTACCTCTGATAAAATTTTGAACTCGATCGGATGAAATTTAAGCAGGATTGTAATGTGGCACAATGAAGCTTGGTAGCAAAAAATAGTTTTCGAGAAAAAACGCATTTTGTACATATATCAGTTTTTTCAGAGCATTTTCCGCGATGCTTATATCACCGCGAAAACTCATCGAAAAATTCTGTAAAACGCCTCATTGTGAAGAAAACACTTTCTTCTATCAGACTATGCGTAAGAAAAATTTTAAATGTACAGAAAATGAGATAAAAGTTTATGAAACTAAAATATTGAGTGTTTTTAGGTTTCGAAGGAAAAACTTCAAACATGCATAACTTTTTGAAAAAAGGTCGTGACGTACTGGGGGTGGTCTTATTTTGTAGCCCACACTTTCCTCTACATTAGCTTATACTCAGCTCAAAATCCGAAATTTTTACAAAAAACAGGGGGCGGGTACCCTCCTCCTTTAATTATATGTGTAGCGTTCAGAAGTTAGCTAAGGCTTCTTGTCGGAGAAATTATGGAATCGAAACTCGAGAAACCTTAACTAATAAACTTTTTTTTAACAGCTACTACTTTTTCAAAGGACGTTCTGCACTTTGTCAAAATAAAAATCCCACGTGAAGAGATAGAAGACATAAAGTATACATTTCTTCTTTTATGTAGCTGTGTACATAAATCGATGACCCTGAACTCTTTGAAATTATCTCTCATAACAATCGTTTTCGAAAAGCTAAAATTGACATTTATTTTTTTGTAACTCGACGAGTTCTATTCAACCATACATAAATAAACCAAAAACAAAATGTTGCTTCACTTTTTAATTACCAGCATTTCAGTTTTTCCAGTACTCAATAAGCGATAACAGTTAGATAACAAAATGTATAAAAAAGAGTACTAAATTTAAAAGTACAAATATCATTACGTTTGTATTTAATTGTTCTTTTGTTGCCAAATTATTGCCACCTGTTGGTGCACGGGTCCTAACTATCTCTTCTATGGTGAGTGTATTTTTTGTTAATGGTATATCATCAATCCAATATTCAAAAGTTGATTTTATTCGATATTCTTGCGATGATGATAAGTTATTAAATTGGAAGCTTTGTATTAGAAAAGTTATATTTGATGTTTGATTACTGATAGGTAGTGAGGTATTTCTTCCATTGAGTTGTACATTCATTTGGTAGGTTGTATAAGGAAGTTCACGTGGCCATAATAATGAAACTGTAACTGAATTGGAATCCGTAACAATTTCTTTTTGTTCAGTAGGAATTACAGTTGGTAAAACAGTTTTTGTTACTCGACAAGTTTTAGTAGTGCTTGAAGCATTTGAGTGATATATTTGATATGCTTCAAAACAAACCGAATAATATGTATTTGGTTTTAGTGAATGATTAAGTACGATTGAGCTATAATTACGACGATCTGTACCATTCATCGCGAACACATATTGATATTCAACGTTTTTATGAGATGAAGCTAAATTATATAAATCAATTGTTAATCGTACGAGAGATGGTTCACTTTCATCATGATATATCCAGCTAATGTTAAGTGTAGTTGAATTAACTACTTTGACATCATTTAGTGATGCTGGGTGAATGATCCAATTTTGATCTTGACAATGTGATTGAAATAGAACGACTAAAACAATGACGCTTGTCACGATATGCTGCATTTTTATTGGTTTACCTAAAACAGCAAATTATGATTGTTACCCAAGCACACAAAAACCATGTAGTATCGCCCAATGTATCTAGATTCGTCAATTCACTAGTTGATGCATCTAAATGCGTAAAAAGAAAGGCATCGAGACATCGCACGTTGTATCTAGATAAATATAGAGATATCTAGATGCATCTAAATATAGATAAATGTTTTTCTCGATGTAACGACATAACATTGCCCATGCATCTACATGAGCAATGCTGTGAACAATGCATTTAGCGTCCATTAAGTGGTTCATGCATCTGGCTGACTCAGTGATTCAGACAATACATCTAGACATCATTGTCAGTGCACGGATGTGTCAGTGTTTCAATAAATGCATCTATTCCAATACAGTGCTCTGGTACGTGAATGGAGATAAAAAAATATGGTTATTTCGTGCACTTTTTGTTTTGCGCCTACCCAACTTCATTGGATGAAAGTTCTGAGTTTAAACCAAAATCAAATAAGATTTCATCTCCGAATATCTCCGTACATGCGGTAGAGCCAAAAAAACTAAAAACCAAAGATGAAATCTCATTTGATTTTGGTTTAAACTCAGAACTTTCATCCAATGAAGTTGGGTAGGCGCAAAACAAAAAGTGCACGAAATAAGCATATTTTTTTATCTCCATTCACGTACCAGAGCACTGTATTGGAATAGATGTATTTATTGAAACACTGACATATCCGTGCATTGACAATGATGTCTAGATGTATTGTCTGAATCACTGAGTCAGCCAGATGCATGAATCACTTAATGGACGCTAAATGCATTGTTCACAGCATTGCTCATGTAGATGCATGGGCAATGTTATGTCGTTACATCGAGAAAAACATTTATCTATATTTAGATGCATCTAGATATCTCTATATTTATCTAGATACAACGTGCGATGTCTCGATGGCATTCATTTTACGCATTTAGATGCATCAACCAGTGAATTGACGAATCTACATACATGGGGCGATACTTCATGCTTTTTGTGTGCTTGGGATGACATTAGACGATAAAAGAAACAACGTGGAATGTCATATGGAAGACAGAAGAAAAACAAATCTATTTTTGCTCTTTTTCTCAGTGAATACGAACATATATATGCAGAACGAAAAAAGTGAAAAACTTAAATTTTAAACGTTAAGAAGAATTTTTATGCGAAAGCAATGTGATATGTGGAATCTACGAAAAAAACTGCTTCGAATGATCATATAATTCGATGTGTTTCGAAAAAGAACGTGTTCGTCCAAAATTTTAGGCAAAACACTTGAGGGGACCTCAGGGAAAAATTTCGAGGGAAACTTTTTGTCTGCCTTTAAGCTCAAACTTAGGTGAATACCGTTTCTCTACATGCCCGATAGGAATATCGTGGCTTGAATCGTTGCGAGGAAAAAGGGGGTAGTTTTCATATGAATGGAAGCTCGTTGCACTCTCAACTTACCATTACCAATATTGGAAAACTTTGATGTAGTAATTCCAATGTTGCCCAGGTTGAATAAAAACGATATAAAGAAGTTTGAAGACGAGTCATATCACCGATAGGTGAAATTTTTAAATAGAACAAGAGTCAATGAAAACTACATTTTCGGATAGAGGATAGTCGATTGCATATGTATCCACCAAAATTGGCTCGGGGTACTGTCAGTCGGGAAGCAAAAGTTTTTTCGGAAAGTTTCCAAGGGAAAGAAAAAAAAGGAAGCAAAAAATAAAGCGACTCGAGCAGGAATTGAACCCACGCCGTAAGAATTCTCTTTCTCTCTGCTCTGTCCACTGAGCTATCGAGTTATACTTTTCTTATCGTCCTTTTTCTCACTATATTTGACATGATGAGGAAGAAATGAATTTTCATTATTGACTTTCTGAAGAATCTTTCAGAAGCATATGCAAAAAATTACCTAAACTAGAAAGAATTTTGA